CGTACCCTCGTGTGCGACCTGTGAGTTGGGGGCTAAGAGCGGTCGCGAGTGGTTAACCAGCTGAACTGAAAAAGGAAAAAAAGGAAAGAGAAGGAGACCTTGACACAAACTGGATGCAGAAACAGTCCCAAAGGGAAAAGAAAGCCTAGCTCGAGGGGCGCCTGGGGGGCCCCGTCGTTGGGCGTCTGCTTTCGGCTCAGGTCCTGTGATCGAGCCCCGCATCCGGCTCCCTGCTCAGCCGGGAGCCTGCTTCCCCCTCTCCCACTCCCCCTGCTTGTGCTCCCTTTCTCGCTGTGTCTCTGTCAAATGAATGAATACAATCTTACAAAAGAAAGCTGGCATAGCTCGAGTATGACTACGTGCAAGTCGGGACTTATCGGAGGGGACAGGGATGGGGGATAGTCAGATGGCGATGAGATGAGTTAGCCAGAAGTGGTTTAGGGAAGGTTCCCGAAAATAAGAGAGGAAGTGTAATGAGGGGGCTGACGGGACGACTGGAGGGTCCCTTCCTCTTCCGCTAACACCCTCCCAGACCGTCCGTGTGCGCAGCAGGCACTGACTGCGTGTCCTGCAGGTGTCCGGCAGGTCTGGCGTTGTGCCGGGCGCAAGACCCCTGTTCTTCAGAGCCCTCGGGTGCAATGGGAGAGAAAGCCTCGTGGCCACCGCCTTCGGGCGTGCTGTAGGAAGCCTAGACCAGACCCCGGCTGGGGAAAGGAGACTTGGCAACGTGTTTCTGGGTTTCCTAGAAGAGCTGCCCCGGGAACCAGCCGTCAGGAGGAGCTGGACAGGAATGCCCCGCAGAAGAGTATTTGCAGAGGGCTAGGGGCAAGGCAGAGCACAGCATTTCAGCAGGACCGGAGGCCCGGCTTCCCAGGGGGGCCATCAAAGCGGGGGGAGGAATTCGAGATGTTTAGGAGCTTCTAGCTCTTGTGTCTGTATGCGGGCATGGGCGAGACGGGCTTTGTGGCTGGGACCCGGGTATTCATCTTTGTGTCCTCAGCGTCCACTCCGTGATGGGTAGGGTCACTCTTGGTGAAGGCTGGCGCAATGACCTCGGAAATGAAACACTAGGGAGAGGGGGATGGAGGAGACGGAAAGAAAGGAATATGCCTGGGAGAGTGCTGAGAAAGAAGGTGAAATGCCCGAAGTCCGTGAGTAAGAGCGGCCATTCCCGCCTCTTCCACTGGTCCTCAATTCCTCGCCCGGGGACCTTCAACTACCTTCCGGTTTTCCCGCCACTCGGGCGACTCCGCCTCCCTGGCGCTTATTGGCTAAAACCCCACCGACGCTAGGCCACGCCCCCTCCGTGACTTTGGCTTGCGTTTCCCCGCCTCCGCCTCTTCCTGCGCTTAGAGCTGCGCCCCCACCTGCCAGGCCACGCCCACGCCGGAGTCTTCCCAGGAGGCGGGCTTCGTTGGCCCCGCCCCCTCCGGAGGCGGCTCCCGCCAGGGGGCGCCGCGCAACCTGTCGGCAGCGGGCTGGCCAGTCTGGCTCACACACCCCCTCCGCCCCGCGCGCCGGCAGCTCGGAGCCCGCACTCCGGGAGGGGCCGGGGTCCGGGATGGCCGCGGCCGTGTCTACGAGTCCAAGCCTGTAAGCCAACGGGCATCATGGAGGCAGAGCAGCGGCCGACGACGGGGGCCGACGAACGGGCGACCCCTGGGCTGGAGGCGGCGCCTTCTGCTGCCCCCGCGCCTGCGGCCGCGGCCTCGCGACCGCTCTCCGGGCCCGCGTCGGGGCCCGAGCCCAAGCGGAGGCAGCTCGGGACGCTGCTCCAGCCCACGGTCAACAAGTTCTCCCTTCGCGTGTTTGGCAGCCACAAAGCAGTGGAAATCGAGCAGGAGAGGGTCAAGTCAGCGGGGGCCTGGATCATCCACCCCTACAGCGACTTCCGGTACTGGGGGCCCGGCAAGGAGGGCGGGGGACACAGATCCCACCCCCAGGGGCCGCGACACGGGGGCAGGGTCCGCCCCCCCTCCACGGACACTCCATTTCCGGCCCAGGGATCCTGGGGTGGGATGTCAGAGTCACTTCCCCCTATCTAGCCTGGGAATTCTTGGGCGAGGGATTCCCAGTCGGAGGCCCTCGGTGCCCTGACACCAGAGCAGACACCGGGGAACCCGGCACTCCCCCTGGACCACAGGATCTACGGGAGTTAGGGACCACTGCCTCCTGCAGTCCTGTCTGCTGGGGATCTGGGAAATTATGTCATGTTCCACGGCTTGGGGTCAGCCTGAGGGAGAAGCCGAGCTCCCGTATCTCCCACCTCGCCCTTGCACCCCCAGCACCCGCACAGGTCAGCAGGACAGGCTACCCCGAGGATGGGGGGGCGGGGGGCAGCAGCCGTTCTTGTCGCTGTCCCTGGTGCTGAAGGCGGGATGCCGCGGGGGCAGGGCCGGGACTCCGAGCGATGGAGGCAGCAGCGCTGGGGCACCGCCGCCCTCCCAGGTGACTATCAGAGAGACGTAGGGACGGACGGTGGAGGTGGGGCTATTTCATAGTCCCCAGCAGGCTGTACCTCTACATCAAGGTCGCTAGGGGAGGAGAGCAGTCCTGTCCTTGGGGGAAATGAAGGACAGCTTTTGGAGGAGGCAAGGATGTGTCCAAAGCACGTAAGGTGGGGAGCAGAATGAGCAGGAAGGGTGAGGCGTGAATCAGGAGCCTGGGAACACAGTAGGAGACCTGGACAGCACTTCGAGTCCACAACCACACACTCTCCCTAAATGCTCCTTTCTCCCATTGTTCCTTCCTCTCCCCTCTTGACTGCCTTATTCCCACCTCACCGGGGCACCTGTTCTAGCCTCCAGTGGTCTCCCTCCCCTCCTCCACGTCACCCTCAGATGTAACCCCAGAAGCCATGTACCCCCTTATTATCATGCTTCTTCCCTGTCCTCTCTCCTGCATCACCCGCTAGGCTTGTGACTGCCTGTGAGTCAGGCTGTGAAGATTCTCCACGGCTGGGCGAGCCCTCCTCTCCTCTCCTCCCCAAGCTCACAGTACAGGATTTCTCCAGTGGCCCAGGGGGTGGAGGAAGAGGGGCTCAAGGATTTGTTGTTGATGGAAAGCACACATTCTGAGGGGCTTCCTGGAAGCCTACATTTTGGATCCCCCATGTTTCTTTCGGAAGCTGAAAAGATTGATTTTGTAGTCAGACTCGGAAGGGGCTGGGCCCTGGTTTGATGCTGTGATTAGGTGTGTCCTGGAATTAAAACCACCATAGCTGCGGTGCCTGGGTGGCCCCCAGTTAAGCGTCCAACTCTTGGTTTCGGCTCAGGTCGTGATCTGAGTCGTGAGATCGAGCTCCACATCAGGCTCCTCAAGCACTCAGTCTGCTTAAGACTCTCTCTTCCTCTCCCTCTGCCCCTCCCCCTGCCTCTCTCTTTCTCAAATACGTAAATAGATCTTTAAAAATGGAAATAAAACCACCACAGCTAATGGGGGCCCTAGAAGGTCCAGTGATCTCTGAATGAAGGCCACCGAGCTTCCTCCTGACCTCTTCTTTCCACAATTCCACCGCAGCTGTGTGGCCCTCTCCTGCCAGTGCCCTTGCCTAGGCTGAGCCAGAGCGCTAGCAGGCACGGAGGGATTAGGGAAGGAAAGGAGTGCAGAGCTTTAAGCTTTGCTGCCTCAGGATCTCCTATGGAGCCTCTCTGGGTGCAACCCTGTCTGAAGGGCTGTGGGGTGGGGTGGACCATCCCTAAAAAGCTCAGTTCAGAGGGGAAGCAGAACAGAGCACCCCACCCAGGAACATAGGCGAGCAGATCCCAACAGAGAACCAGGAACCATGGGTCCAGATGTGTTGGGAAGGAGGGTTGGGGCAGGGAGGGCGTGAAGTCCTAGACCAGGAATGGGCAGAGAGCTGGAGATGGAAGAAGCAACAACCTCTTCAGAAATTTGGGAACAAAAGGTGGGTGAGTCACAAAATCAGCTAGTGCTTGTACAGCACTGTCTTATCCATTGTCTCAGGGGGTATGTTTTCGACAACACTGTGGGGTTAGCACGGGGTACTTTATCTTTTTTTGTTTTTAAGATTTTATTTATTTATTTGACAGAGAGAGATCACAAGCAGGCAGAGAGGCAGGCAGAGAGAGAGGAGGAAGCAGGCTCCCTGCTGAGCAGAGAGCCCGATGTGGGACTCAATCCCAGGACCCCGGGATCATGACCTGAGCCGAAGGCAGCGACTTAACCCACTGAGCCACCCAGGCGCCCCTACTTTATCTTTTTTTTTTTAAGATTTTATTTATTTATTAGACAGAGACCACAAGTATGCAGAGAGGCAGGCAGAGAGAGAGAGGAGGAAGCAGGCTCCCTGCCGAGCAGAGAGCCCAATGCGGGGCTCGACCCCAGGACCCTGAGATCACGACCTGAGAGGAAGGCAGAGGCTTAACCCACTGAGCCACCCAGGCGCCCCTACTTTATCTTTTTTTAACTTTAAAAATATTTAACGATAGTGACATAAAGCACGTACATGGTAAGACATTACGTATATGTTATACATATTAGAGAGATACGTGTGTGTGTAGTGGGATATATATATAGTAGAGATACCTTACCAGTAGGTACAGATACAGTGGACATCTACATAGCGGTACAGTGTATGCTGGAATATTCTATTGCATATATACTCAAAATACATGTGTGTGCACGCACATATACACACACACGTACATACACACATGTATATATAACCACAAAACACACCCGCGTGTAACAGCCGCCCAACAAGGAGAGACTACCTTGCCCATACCCAGAAGCTCCCTTACTGCTCTCACAACCCTTGCCCTAACCTACTATTCTAATTTCTGTGACATCCATGTCCTTACTTTTTTTTTTTTTTTAGTAGTTTCACCACTTTTCTGTGAATCTCTAAATAATGCAGTTTAGTCTTGCCTGTGTTTGACGTTTGTGCAGGTGGGACCCCTCAGTATGTATCATTTTGTTTTCTCTTTCGCTGAGCGCTAGAGCAGTGCGGTGCACTGGTGCTGTGGGCTGTGGCTGTGGGTCCTCCCGGGGCAAGAGTATATCACTGTCTATGACTCCACGCTGTTTAGTCTGGTTATCCACATTTTTGTACTGATGAACATTTCAGATTAATTCCAGATTTCATGCTGCTGCAGACATCCCCATGTGTCTCTCCTGGACCACATGCTTCCCTGGAGTGTCAGTTACTTAGAATGGAACCGCTGGGTTGCAGGGAATGCAAATGTGCAAGGTTATTAGATAATTCCAGACTGTTTTCCCAGATGGTGGTCCCACCTTTCAGCCCCCCCGCCCCGCCCCGGCTGTGAAGGGTCATCACGTTCCCCAGCCGTGGCCGCGCTGGCCTCCCTGCTGTCTGTCTGGCTGGGGCCACCTCGCGGTCTCACTCCCCGTCCGGCCCCCACCTTAGGTTTTACTGGGACCTGACCATGCTCCTGCTGATGGTGGGGAACCTCATTGTGCTGCCTGTGGGCATCACCTTCTTCAAGGAGGAGAACTCCCCACCTTGGATTGTCTTCAACGTCCTCTCGGACACCTTCTTCCTGCTCGACCTGGTGCTCAACTTCCGCACGGGCATCGTGGTTGAGGAGGGTGCTGAAATCCTGCTGGCCCCGCGGGCCATCCGGTCGCGCTACCTGCGCACCTGGTTCCTGGTCGACCTCATCTCGTCCATCCCGGTGGACTACATCTTCCTGGTGGTGGAGCTGGAGCCGCGACTGGACGCCGAGGTCTACAAGACGGCGCGCGCCCTGCGCATCGTTCGCTTCACCAAGATCCTCAGCCTGCTGCGGCTGCTCCGCCTCTCCCGACTCATCCGCTACATCCACCAGTGGGAGGAGGTGGGGCGGGGAGGTGGGCAGGGGGGGCTCGCGTACTCCACGGGACAGCGCTATGGGTGGGGCTCCTGGTGACTTCATGCGGGGAGGCGGCTGGGCGGGCTCTCTCCAGATGGTGGGGCAGACGCGGGGCACAAGGAGGGTTTGGGGGAGGGTGGGGGCGGGGGGTGGGCCCCCCACGCCCCTGAGGGGAGGAGGGTGGAGCACAACTGCGGAGGAAGGCCTGCGGGTTAGCCGGCCCCTGGCAGGGCAGGAGGAACTGGGAGGGGAGCAGGCCGCAGAAGGGCCTGGAGTTGCAGCTTCAAGGGGGCAGAGTTCGGGGGCTCCGAGAGTGGGCCCTGCAATCTCATTGCCTGCGATCCTAACCCCGTTTGACTATTTACTATAGGAGACTCGGTTTCCTCTTCTATAAAATGAAGATGTTAAATAGACTTACGTGTGAGAAGGTTGTAAGGATTCAAGGCAGTAATGGTGGTAAAGCTCCTGGCACAGTGCCTGGAGCCCAGCAAGTTCTCCACTAGTGTTCTGGGGGGGGGGGGGTGCTGTCAGCGTGGACGCCTGCGTGCACGCCTTGGGTGCATTGCGCTGAGAAACACCCTCTTTCTCTCTCCCAGAGGGCGCAGCCTGGGCAGATTGTGCAGTAGAGTTTTTTGAGTTTCTGCTGTGACACTGATTCTGGGCATAGGACTGGCACTGATTTCCCGTATCCATAAGATGAGCGTAGTAACACAGCTGACTTCCGTTGGGCTGTGAGGCTCTCTAGGCATGAATAACAGTCGCACTTAAGGAAATTCGTGGGGGCTGGGGCTAGGCAGAAGAGGAGGACCAGCGGGGCCGGGGGGGCCTGCCCACAGCAGCCGCTGCTCGGACTCCTCAGATCTTTCACATGACCTATGACCTGGCCAGTGCCGTGGTGCGAATCGGCAACCTCATTGGAATGATGCTGCTGCTGTGCCACTGGGACGGCTGTCTGCAGTTCCTGGTCCCCATGCTGCAGGACTTCCCTCCCGACTGCTGGGTCGCCATCAACCACATGGTGGTGAGAACTTCCCACAGCTCTGTCGCTTTGGGCCTTCTCTGGGCTCTTCTGCCCAAACACCAGGGTCAGGAGGCGGGAGACGATAGAGTAAGGATGTGGGGAGGTGAGAAGGGGGGGCTGCCTAGAGGAGGGGATTTCATGTTGTGGGGCACAGCCATGGAGGGCTCCCCCTGCTGTGAAGAGGCCGCGTCTGCCCCGGAAGCCCCCAGAGCCGAGTGTGGAGCAGAGGGGGGGCAGGCGGAAGGACCGAAGGATGGGGGGTGCAGGAGGAGAATGAGGTGCCTAGCTGGGTGACACGCTCTGCCCTCCAGAACCACTCGTGGGGGCGCCAGTATTCCCACGCCCTGTTCAAGGCCATGAGCCACATGCTGTGCATCGGGTACGGGCAGCAGGCGCCTGTGGGCACGCCCGACGTCTGGCTCACCATGCTCAGCATGATCGTGGGTGCCACATGCTACGCCATGTTCATTGGCCACGCCACAGCGCTCATCCAGTCCCTGGACTCTTCCCGACGTCAGTACCAGGAGAAGGTCAGCAGGGGCGGGAGAAGGAAGGGGTGGGCATGGCAGCTCGGCAGAGGTGGGACAGCCCTGCCTGAGGCTGATTCTGATACATGCCCCTGTTGGGTCTCCATGTCCCTTCCCTGCCTTGTGTCCCTTTGTGCCATGCCCCTGTGTGTAACTGTTTCCTTGTTTGGACCTATGTCCCTGTCCTTGGACCTTTCTCTGCCCACGTCTGGGTTTTCCTGGGACTGTGCCGTGTGTCTTCCCCATGACCCGCTGTCTGCCCTTGTGTCTCTGTGTTTCACCCCTTCGGATCTGCCCGGTGCCTGTGGTCGTCCTTCCACGTACCCGCCCCCCCAACCCGTGGCCTGCCCTGCACCTGGCTCTGTGTCCGCCGCCCACGGGCCTCTGGCTGGCCCTCCAGTACAAGCAGGTGGAGCAGTACATGTCCTTCCACAAGCTGCCGGCCGACACCCGGCAGCGCATCCACGAGTACTACGAGCACCGCTACCAGGGAAAGATGTTCGACGAGGAGAGCATCCTGGGGGAGCTGAGCGAGCCGCTTCGGGAGGTGGGGCGGGGCCTGTGGGGCACCCTCCGTGCTAGGGGCTGCTGGTCCATAGGCGCAGCTGCAGGGAGCGGGGCCTGCGGAGGACCGCATCAGAAGCCAGGACTGTGGGGGGCTTATGGGGACTAGGGTCTTTCTGGAAGGTCTTATGGGGAGGGGCTGCAGGGATCTCTGTTTTCGGGGGACGGTCCTTTAGGGGCTTATGGGAGAGCTTTGAAGGCAGGAGCTTAGGGCTTGTCCCAGGCTGACTGCAGCCTCCCTGTCCTTTGGCAGACCGTGGCCCCTGGGGTAGGGCCTCTGGGAACGCATGAGCTCAAGGGGGGGCACCTCGGGGCAGGGGCACCACCAGCTTGACAGGCATCTCCCCTGTCCAGGAGATCATCAACTTCACATGCCGGGGCCTGGTGGCCCACATGCCGCTGTTCGCCCACGCTGACCCCAGCTTCGTCACGGCCGTGCTCACCAAGCTGCGCTTTGAGGTCTTCCAGCCGGGGGACCTCGTGGTGCGTGAGGGCTCCGTGGGCAGGAAGATGTACTTCATCCAGCATGGGCTGCTCAGTGTGCTGGCGCGCGGCGCTCGGGACACCCGCCTCACTGACGGATCCTACTTTGGGGGTCAGCAGGCCTCGGGGAGGATGGGGGGACTGGAGCAGAAGCCAGAGGGCGATTGCTTCCCTGGATCAGGGTCCCTGCCTGGCTGTGTGCAGAACCCCCAGGCCCGCTTACCCAGAGTCTCGGGGCCTGGGGCTCCGCGGCTCTAACTTGCCTCCTGAGGGAGTCTGGTGTGTGGCCAGCTTCACGATTTCTGGGCCAGCGGGCCTTGTAGAACCCCAAAGCAGTGAAACCCAAGGACCCTAGATGATGGAGGAAAGACAGGAATAGAGCCCTGCTGGTCCAGGGGCTTGGGTTCGGGAGCTCCCGGGGGGTATGCCCCCACGGCACCATGCAAGGGTCAGGCCAGGGCCCTGGGGGCCGTTCCACCAGAGGCTGCCCAGGGCCGCTTGAGCCTCTGCCCTGTCTTGGACCCCAAACAACCTGCCGCCCTCTGGCCCCCGTCGTGTTGCCCTTTGCCCTTGGGCTGCCCCTTGGGCCAGAGCAGGGGAGTGGGTATGAATTAAATGGAGCGGGATAACCAGGCGCGTGGGGGCCGGAAAGACCCACCGTTAGTCAGCTTCAGTCTGGAGAGAGTGCGAGGGATTGTAACGGCGCCTGTGGAGAAAGAGAACACTTGGGGTTTTTAAGGGACCCTGGTGTGGGTGGGGAGGAGCCTGAGGAGCGCGAGGGAATCTGGGGCCGGCGGTTCTGAGGACCTTCTCCCACTTCGGACAGAGATCTGTCTGCTGACGCGCGGCCGACGCACAGCCAGCGTCCGGGCAGACACCTACTGCCGCCTCTACTCGCTCAGCGTGGACCATTTCAACGCGGTGCTGGAGGAGTTCCCCATGATGCGGCGGGCCTTCGAGACCGTGGCCATGGATCGGCTGCGCCGCATCGGTGAGGCTGGTCTGCCTGCCCCCGGGGTCCTGGCTGTACCCCCGCCCCACCCCATAGCAAGGCGCCCCTGCCTCCCAGGGCCCGGGCTCTAGGGCATCAGCGTCACACCCCAGCCCACCCTGTTCTCAGCAGATGCCCCCACGAGACTTTCAACACCGTGTCTTACTGTCCTTGTCACTCAGTGTCTCCTGCCCCTGGAGATACGGCCCGGAGTCCCCATGCGGAGAGTCCTCCTTCCCTGAGTACCTGTCCCTGACCCGCACCATCTCTGATATGTACTCTTGTACACTGGGCCCTGACCCTCTTTCTCCATCCCCGCCCCCACCCTGCTGCCCTCCTCTGCCTCCGTCTTGTTCTCCTCCTGCTCTCCGGTACCCGACCTTCCCCTTGGACTCCTTCCCTCTCCTCCTTCTCCTGCTGGGACCCCGTCTAGGCAAGAAGAACTCCGTGCTGCAGCGGAAGCGTTCTGAGCCCAGTCCAGGGAGCAGCGGGGGTACCATGGAGCAGCACTTGGTGCAACACGACAGGGACATGGCCCGGGGTGTTCGGGGCCTAGCCCCAGGCACAGGAGCCCGGCTCAGCGGGAAGCCGGTGCTGTGGGAGCCACTGGTGCACGCACCCCTGCAGGCAGCCGCAGTGACCTCCAGTGTGGCCATCGCCCTGACTCACCAGCGGGGCCCTCTGCCCCTCTCCCCTGACTCTCCAGCCGCCCTCCTTGCTCGCTCTGCTCGACGCTCTGCAGGTTCCCCAGCCTCCCCACTAGTGCCTGTCCGAGGTGGCCCTCTGCTGGCCCGGGGTCCGTGGGCCTCTACCTCCCGCCTGCCTGTCCCACCTGCCCGAACCCTCCATGCCAGCCTGTCCCGGGCCGGACGATCCCAGGTGTCCTTGCTGGGTCCCCTCCCAGGAGGAGGTGGACGGCGACTAGGACTTCGGGGCCGCCCACTCTCAGCCTCCCAACCCTCTCTGCCTCAACGAGCAGCCGGGGATGGCTCTCCTGGGCGCAAAGGCTCAGGAAGTGAACGCCTGTCCTCCTCAGGGCTCCTGGCCAAGCTTCCAGGGACAGCCCAGCCCCCCAGGCCATCAGTGCCTGAGCCAGCTGCCCCTCGGGGCCCCCAGCTCTCTGCCAACATGTGAAACCCCTGAATGAGCTCTTGGGGGCAGCGGTGTATACCCAAGGGCAGACGCCTCTTGGGGAAGGCCAAGGAGACCTAAAACGTGGCCCTGTGGAAATATCTCCCTTTGCTACCAAGAAGATGGTCTCTGTCCTCAGCTCAGGCCCCCTGCAGCCTGTCTGAGGTCCTCCTAACCCATTCGCCCACTCATCAAGTGTACTGAGCGTCCGCCATGCTCAAGAATTGGTCTTCACTGCCAAGTACAATGACTCCAAGGCCTCTGAGGAGGGTGTTCCCCGGGCATGGTCCCGCTGGTGCAGGCTCAGGCCCAGGCCCCCAACTCACCAAGCACAACTCCTTGCCACCACCATCACTGCCAAGCAACTACAAGTCTCTGTTTCCCCCCAGTGACCCTGCAGGTGCTGTCGGCTGCGTTTGTCCTCTGCGTCCCCATCACAGCTGGGCACTGTCAACCGCCTGTGCCTCTGCTACTGTCAACAGACATCTTGGCTCCCCAGTCTGGGCCTCTGCCTTCACTGCCAAGTGCGGGCCCTCCCCCTCACTACCCCCCAAGGGGGAACACGTCTCCTGTCAAGTCCCTTCCATTATCTGCCCCCGGGCTAGAACTATCTTTTTGTAGACGGGGTGTGGGGGGCCTCCTCCCTGTGCCCCTGTCCCGCTGGGGTCCCCCTTGAGGCTAAGGGATGGTTGGCACCTCCCTCATTAATGTGCTGGCCTGGATCCCCCCAGGCAGGGGGCAAGTGGCTGAAATCCCCAGATGGCATTTTTTCTTTCCTTCCTCCCTCCTTTCCTTTCTTGTTTATTATTATTCAATCACATAATAATTGTATTTATTCATTTGCTAGTTTCATTTATCATTAGTTCATTTTATTCAGCCTTCCTTTATCCATCCCTCCCCACTTCTCCTTATAGGGACAGAGGAAGGAGCAGGGGCCCCATGCCAGCTCTTGTGGTCCTGGCTCAGCTCCAACACCGGGCAGCAATCCTGAGCCCTCTCCCGACCTAGGGAGCGACCTAGGGAGTGGCAGGAGAGCTGCCCCAGCGAGCGGGGAGGAGGACTCTTGCTACTTTTAGGGGCTCTTCTGAGTTGACTGCTGGTGCAAGAGTGAGGGGAGGACCCGAGGTATCCAAGCCTGGGGAAGGGTAGGCTAGCCAGTACCAAGAGAAATCTCTTGCCCCTCTCCTCTGTCCCATGCCTATTCTACAGTATCAGCAAATGGGGACCAGGACCCTAAATCTTTCCTTTTGAGCATAGTGTCCTGGGGTTTTATAATTGCTCCCAAACAGCTGGGTTGAAAAGGAAAATAGAGCTACTCATTTGGGCTCCTGGTTTGTGTGGGGGAGCACAGCATGAAGGAGTTTCTGGGTGCAGGACAAGACCGCAGGGCATCGGGACCGCAAGGCATGAGGTGGGCAGGGAGGGGCCTGCAAACCCCACAGAGGTTGTAAAAATAGTGACAAGATGAGCCCCCACCCCACTCCCCGTTCTCAGGCTCCCCAGCGCTCATCCAGCCTCGCTTCCCCAAAAGGGTGGCACTTCGATGTCACTGTCCGTCACAATGGAGGAAAAGGGGGAGCTGTCCTGGGGGGCGCCTCAGATCATCATGGGGGCCACATCAGAGAGTATCAGAATGCACGATAGTGATCTTGTGGGGACTGCCCTGTGCCCCTCGCCCCACACCCTACGGGTACAGGAAGCCCAGGGGAATCAAATTAACCAGCTAAACTAGGATTAGGGATCAGAGCATCTTAGGGCCCAGCTAAGAGTGTGGGGCACAGGGGCTGGTGCTGCCAGATGTCCTGTGCTGCTCTGGACACAGCCCTCCAGGGCCTGCGTGAAGGGGAGGGGAGCAAGTGTGGCCTGGGCAGGGTATCTGTGGGGGGAGGGGGCTGGCTCATGGGGCGTCTCAGGGTACGCTCAGAACTCGCATGATGTTGGTGTAGCCAGACCCAGGTCGCCAGCCTGTCACCACGATCACCAGGTCCCCCACGCGCAGGAAGCCGCGGAGCTTTCCTGGCAGGGGCGCAGAGAGAAGGCGACAGTCAGACACTGAGGGACGGAGACCAGCCCTGTTGTGAGAACCGGCCACCACCCTCCACCTCCTCCAGGGCAGCCCTGAGGGGCCCTGGTGATGCTGTGGGGACCGCAACCCCTGCAGGACGCTAGAGCTGCAGGCGTGTCCCGGGCTGGCGTGGGCTGTGCGGCTAAGGAGCCACGCTGTCCACCTCTGTGGCTATGTTGGAAGAAGAGGTGGGGTATGATCAGTCGGGAAATCAGAGTTTCATTCCAGCCTGGGGGTGGGGGGGCCGGATCCCCCGTGGACTCTCACCTCTTACTCTGGCCGCCTGTGCGGGTAGCAGCCAGGCTGACCGCTCCTCTACTGCTCCCCTCCCCAACATGCCCCCCGGCCCCTGCCTCCTCCCCAGCCTGTCCCTCCGACCCCCGGAGGCCAGGACATCTCTGTGTCTTTGTGAACCTCTCGGAGAGACTCTGGCACCAGGGGAGAGAAACAAGGCCCTTTGAGTGGGTGTGGAAGGTGAGGCCAGGGGACTGAAGGTGCCAGCCCAGGGCGGGGAGGGCAGGGGGAGGGAAGCGCGGGCGGCTCACCGCTTCCGATGCCAAACTGCACCCGGCGGTCCACGTCATCCGCCCAGACGGCCTCCGGAGGGTCGCTGTAGAGCAAGGGAAACACCCCCCGGCACAGGTGGGCCTGCCGGGCGGCCTGGGCAGAGCGGGTGACAGCAATGACCACTGCCCGAGGTCGGTACCGGGACAGCAGCTGTGCTGAGCTGAAGGGGTTGGAGAAGGTCTCAGAACAGGGAAAGGGTGTGGAACCAGGAAACGGGTTTGGGTTTCGGGCCCCGGGAGTCGCAAACAAGCTGTGCAGCCCTGGGTGAGCGATCATAGTCCTCGGGGCCCTGCTTTTCCCACCTGTAAAATGGGCATAAGAGCGCCTGCCCTCCTCACCACACAAGGCAGATCAAAGAATGAAGGACAGAGCAGAGCAGATAATAAGAAACTTCTGGAGAAGCATAAAACCCTTCTGAGAAGGTACCTAGACCTAGTACTTAACTCACAAATGTCTCTTGTTAATCCTTGAAACCCCATGAGGAAACGGAGATCTGCAGCGGATCATAGCTGATTTCAGAGCAAAGACTTGGACTAAGGCCTTCTGGGCCCTTCGGCAACACCTCAGCACTGCAGGGCTTGTGGGCTCTAAAAGCAGGGTCCTAAAGTGTCCTGGCGCCCTTCCAGCCCCCTGGAGCTCACTGGGGCACGTCCCCCTGCTCCAAGATCTGCCCCTCCTGGCCCCCAGCTACCTCTCCTTTTGCCACAGAATGATGCTCTTCGTCTCCTACGTCAAGACAAAACCCAAGCCTGGGGCCCATCCCAGCCTGCCCCTGGCCCAAAGCTCTGTCTTGGTGTTGCCAGGGTCCATCTCACCGGCCAGTCGTAGTCAGCACGACGATGGCAGCTGCACAGCACTTGAAGGCGGCCTCCACGGCACCTATGGCGGTGACCTCAGTGGGATCGCGGCTCAGGGGTGCGGCCCGGCGCAGCTCCTCAAACAGCTGCCGGTGATACACAGCAGCCTCTGCCTCCCGAGCTATCTGCAGGCACCAGGAAGTCAGCCAGGGGCGGGCCCTGGGCCTGGGAGGGGCTTGGGGCCCCGGAACCGGAACCAGAACCGAGCTCCTACCGCATGCTGCATTTTTACTGCATCCACTGGGAATAGGCCCTTGGCGGTCTCCCCCGACAGCATGATGCAGTCCGCTCCGTCCAGCACAGCGTTGGCCACGTCACTCGTCTCTGCCCGGGTGGGCCGCGGCTTGGTGATCATGCTCTCCAGCATCTGGGCGACATCGGGGGATCAGAGCTGGACGACTCCCATCTGACCTGGGACCCTGCCCCAGCTACTTCTCTGCCACCTTCAGAGGGCCCCGAAAGCCAGGGTCATGGTCACAAAGTATGTGATTCTGGTTCCTTATCTGAAAATGGGGCTCACAGAATCTCTTCCCAACTTCGTTGTTTGAGGATCAAACATGGGACAGCAGAACGTACTTAGACCTGAGGTATGGGTACCCGCCCTCAGGCATCCCCAACACCCCGAGAAGGCCCAGGGCCCTGAGGGCTCACTCCAGACCTGTGTGGCGCAGACGACCGGCTTGCCCGCCAAGTTGCACCGCCCGATCATCATCTTCTGGGCAAGGAAAACCTTCTCGGCTGGGATCTCGATGCCCAGGTCGCCCCGCGCCACCATGATGCCATCGCTCATCTCCAGGATTTCATCAAACCTGGGCGGTTGGGGGAGTCAGGGCTGGGGAAGAGCCAGGAGATTCCAGGGAGAGGAAGACTGGAGAAGAGGAGGGTGGTGGGGATGGCTAGGGCCTGCTAGGGACAAAAACCAAGCCTCACTTCTTCACGCCTTCGTGGTTCTCGATTTTGCTAATGATCTTGATGTGGCGTCCTTCGGGCCCCAGAGCAGCCCGGATGGCAGCCACGTCACTGGCTTTCCGCACAAAGGAGGCAAAGATGATGTCCACGTTATGCTGCACCCCAAAACGGAGGTCCAGAACATCCTGCTCGGACAACCCGGGCAAGTCCACCTCGGCACCTGGCAAGTTCACACCCTTCCGGCTGCCCAGGAGGCCTCCACTCTCCACCTGGGTCTCCAGCCCATCCGGACCTGCAGGCATGGAAAGAGCCCGCTCAGGTCAGGGGTGAGCCAGGGGCATGGTCCCGGAGAGGGAGCCCAGGTGTTGGGACCCCAGGAGATCAGGAACCCATGTCCTAGTGTCTCTCCACCCTCCACCAGGCCTGGGCACGGAACAGGCCGCGGGTGGACGTCTGTCCAAGAGATAAACCCGGCAGTCCAGCCCCACCCAGGGTTGAGCCCACAAGTGTGGACCCCAGGAGCTCTGGGGATGGGAGGGGAAGGGTGCTGGCCAGGAGAGAGGGCAGCGGGTCTACCGGGCTAGGGGACCCAGGGAAGGGAGTATGCCCACGTCCCTGCTTGGCTGGGGCAAAGGCTCATCCGCACCGATTTTCTTGACCTGGAGGGAGATGAGCCCGTCGTCTATGTAGATGCGGCCCCCCACCGACACGACTTTGACAATATTGGGGTAGTCCACCCACACGATGTTCGCGTCCCCCCGCGTCCGGAACGCCGGGTCCACGGTCACCAGCACCCGGGAGCCCTTCACTAGCTCCACCTCGGCCTCCGGGCCCTAGGGGCGGGGCCAGAGTGGCCTTGAGACTCGCTTCTTGCCCCACCCTCCCGCGCCCCGCCCCGCCCCGCCCCTCGCACAGCAGGGGGGCGCCCGGGAAAGCCCGCGGCGCGGGGTCCGACTCTCACCCCCAGCAGGACGCCGGTGCGTATTTCCGGTCCCTTGGTGTCCAGGGCGATGGCCACCGGCCGGTAGCCAAGCGGAGAAGTCGCAAAGCTCTCCACCGCCTCCCGGATGTTGGCGATGGACTGAGCGTGGTACTGGGGACGAGCGGGCAGCGATGTCGGGGGAAGGCGGCAAGGACCCCCACCACCCCCCGCCACCGGCGAGCTTAGCCCCGCCCCCTCCCCTTAGCCCCGCCCCGGACCTCGTGGGAGCCGTGCGAGAAGTTGAGGCGCGCGATGTTCATCCCGGCCTTGATCATTTCCTTGAGGCGCTCCACCGAGTGCGAGGCCGGCCCTGCAGCGGGGAGGCCGCTCTGACCGCCGTCTGCCCGTCCGCGGCCGCCCCGCCGCCCGGCCTTTACTCCGGACGCAACCTCCGCTCACAGGTCAGCCAGCACCTGCTTGTCCGGGGTGCCCGGGGCGGGCGTCCTGAGCGCGGCTGAGCGGGCGGTGTTGGCAGCGGGTGGCCGCGGCGGAGGGGGAGTCCCCCGGCGCGTGAGGGGCACGGCGGGAGGTACCGTGCCTGGTGAGGGCATCTGGGGTCCGTCTGGGCCCGCAGAGCTGAGAGGCCATACGCACGGCGGAGAGGCGATCTTTGCTGAGCTGGCCGGGCCGCTGGGAGCCCGCCGGACCCGCCTCTCCAGTCCCTGCCCAAAGCCAGCGCGCGTGAGGCCCCTTTCTCAGCTGCTGAAGACGGAGTCGGCACTGCGCCGGCCTGTGGCACCAGCGGGCGCCCTGCTGTCGATCACGGCCATCAGCACGGACCCCGCGGCTCCTTCCTCATGACATAGCCTCTGAGCCTCAGGACCCCCTCCAGCCACAGCCCTATCCTTTGCTCTTCTCTGCCTCAAAACTCATTGCAAGGACCCTCCGCGCTCGCAGCTGCGGGCCTCCCTCCTCCCCGCTTCTCCCGGGCTCACACTCCCTGCGGCGCGGGCCTCTCTGCTGCCGCTCTTCCTGCCAGGGTCGCCAAGAACCTCTGTGCCCTGGCTGAATGCAGGGATCGCTTCTCAGTGCGCATTCCGGCTGGCGGATCCACAGCTCCGGACCCCGCGCTTGCCGCAGCTTCCTCACCTGGCGCGCAGGGCATGCCCCCTCTCCTGTTTCCTCCCACCCCACAGGCCGCCGCTTCTCAGCCCTGCCCCCCCCCCCGCCCCCAACATTAGCTGGCTCATTCTCCTCTCTGTCGTTTTCCCTACACTCTCGGGGGGTGGTCTCACCTAGTCTCAGGGCTTTAAGTACCATCGACATGCTGATGACTCCCACATGTATATCTGCAGCTCAGACCTCTGCCCCAAACCCAGACTTGTGTATCTGATCACATCTGAAACTGCATGTGCGAAGCCCAGCTCCTGATCTCCTCCCCCCGAAACCTCTGCACTAAGATCTTTGTTGCTCCGTTGATAATGCGTCCTTCTAGTGCCTCACGCTGAAAGCCTTGGGCCCCTCTCTGCTCCCCGTCCCCATGTCCAAACCATCTGGAAATCCCATCGACTCCATCTTCCAAATGCTCTCAGAATCTGATCCCATCTGACCACTGCCACTGCCCCCCCCCACCTGGTCTGAGCCAGAAATGTCACAGCAGCCGTTCCTGCTCTGGCCCCCAGGGCCACCCTCCACCTCTTCCCAGGCAGTCCATCACAGCATAAGAGCGAGTCACTCTCCTTCCAGCACTGGCGGCCCTCTCCCACTTCTCCAGAGGAAAACTGAACTCAAACTCTAAGAATGGCTTGTAAGCCCTGATCTCCTCCCCTACAATGTTTTCACTTTGCTACTCTTTCCCCCAGGTGGTTTCTAACGGTTCCAGCATCTTTGACTCGGGACCCTTGCACTGGCTGCTTCCTTGTCTGGAACCCAACCCCCAACCTTGAGCCTCCTCTCATCTCCTTCACGCCTTTGCTCAGATGTAATTTTCTGAACAACGGTTCCCCGACCCCCACATGGGGCCACGGCCTTCTGCCCTCGAGCCTCTGCTGCCCCTTGCAATGCTGTGTTCCTTGTGTCCATAGTTCCTACCACTTTCTCACATATTAAACGATCTTTTTCTTTGTAAGTTAGTATGTTTGGTATTTATTGTCTCCCCCAGCTAGACAGTCAGCCCCTCGAGGACGGGGATCTTTGTTTACATTACCGATCAGCTCCCAGGGACCCAAACCTTGGCTACCAGACCCCCCGCCAGTATTTGCTGAATGAATGACTCTGTCAAACACAGAGTGGTCTCAGAGGAGACAGCAGGTGGGGAAGCATCTTGAGAAACCTTTGAGGGGTCTCTGAGGGTTTCTCTGATTCCTGGCTGGGGGCACTCACCGATGGTGGCAATGATGCTTGTGCTGCGGGCCGTCACGGGCTCTGAGTCAATGTCCAGCAGGCAAAGGTGCTCGAGAAAGGTGTCTGCCATCGCGGCCGACAGCTGCTGCCGCTGGAAGAAGGCCGTGCCCAGCTCCTGGGTCAGCTGGGCCACGCTGGCCCGCCGCAGGTACCCCGCTGGCCCTGCAGTGGAAGAGGGCTGTGTGGGCCGCTGCCGCACCCCACTCCCTTCACCTCAGCACACCCCAAGTCCCCTTTGTCCGTGCCAGGTTTCACAGAGCCCTTCCTAGAAGACAGGCACTACACAGACATTATCTGAGAGATGGGCTTCGCATCCAGGCCTGGCCGGCTCTAGGCTCTGGTTCTTGACCAGCCAGCTCTCCGAGCCCTCCCAGCCCTGACCCCCTGCCCTTCAGCTGCTGGCTTCCCGCAGCCTCAGCCCTTCGCTCTATCTAGTCCGGAGCCGCTGCTCACGCTTGCCCTGTCCCCTTTCCTAAGCTCCCCGTTTTCTTCCTTCCAATTGGCTGGCTTCCCGACCCCCTCCTCTGAGTTTCCCCAGTCCCTTCAATGCCTCTCCAGTCCTAGGATCCCTGTGGCTTGCCCGGCCCTGCCCAGAGGAGCCCCAGTCCCAGCCATACCCTCCATGGCCCTGAGCCCCTGTCCCTGGGGGTCTGCTGCACGCTGTTGGGCTGCGAGAGGCACGCCGGGCTGAGGGAGCAGTCCTGCATGCTGGTTAAAATGTCACGACCAGGGGCCAGAGTCCAGGCAACACGGGAGTGCCCCATGGCTCCCAGGCTGCAGGACAGCCCATGCCCCGCCCCGCCTACAGAGGCTGAGAAAGAGGCTCGGACCAGAGCCCAAAACTGAACACAGGGGACACTCCAGTGAGCAGAGACCCCCACCCCCACCACCGAGGCCCTCTTGGCCAGCAGCAGACATTGGTCATGTGTGTCCCCACCCCGCTCCTGATTTCCACCCTCATTCCCTACCCTGTTCACTGGCTTCCCCTTTCCTTACCTCCTGGAGCCCCGATCAGGATGGACTTTGCTAAGTCCCTTTGGGACTTAGAGATCCTTGAGCAAAGCTCTTGGGCGTGTATGTTCTCCTGGCTGGACATGCTTACAAAGTGAGAGGCTGTGGAGAGAGGGGGAGAGAGGAGGACAGATCTGCTGGTCTTATCTAAGGGAGACAGAGAAAAGAAAAGGGGCACACCCAGCGGGCTGTCCCTGTCCCCACAGGGTCCCTCCCCCAACTTGCTGGCTCACCACCCCATCTTCTGGCATACCCCCTCTGTCATCCATTTTTTCTGATAAGTTTCCAATTCATTCATGCTGTCATCAGCCTGAATAGAGATTTTGGTGATACGGCCCCTTTTCCTTTGTACTTTGCAGTAGTCCGAGATGAATCTAGGAAGGAGGGGGTTATGGTGGGGACTGGAGCCTGAAGGAAGGGGATGGGGAGCACCGTGACAATGTGCTGGGATTCTCTGGCAGGCCTCTGACAGCATCACAGCCACTGTAACACAGGCCGCCATTTGCTTGCTGGCCAGTATTTGCTGAACACCTAGTCTGTGCTGGGTCCCAAGGACGCAATGGTGAGCAAAACAGACAGGGCCTCTAGCCTTCTAAGGGATTTCCAGTGTGGGGACACTGACAATGGACAAGCACCACTGGCACCCGGCCGGCTCAGTAGCAAGAGCGTGCGACTCTTGATCTCAGGGTCCTGAGTTCAAGCCCCAAGTTGGGAATAAGAGATGACCGATAGAAACCTTAAAAAATAAATAAATAAAACAGGCACCAAAAAAATGAACATTAACCACAAATTTGGTGTTTTTGTAAGGTTTTCTTTTTCTTTTCTCTCTTTTTTAAAGATTTTATTTATTTATTTGACAGAGAGATCACAGGCGGGCAGAGAGAGAGGGGGAAGCAGGCTCCCCGCTGAGCAAAGAGCCCGATGCGGGGCTCGATCTCAGGACCCTGGGATCATGACCTGAGCTGAAGGCAGAGGCTTAACCCATTGAGCCACCCAGCTACCCCTAAGGTTTTCTTTTTTTAAGAGAAAGAGTGCTCTTGTATGTGTGTGAGGGGAGAGGCAGAGGGAGAGAATCTCAAGCCGGTTCCCTGCTGAGCCCTGAGCCAGGGCTGGAAGCAGGGATCTGTGATCTCACAACCCTGAGACCCGGGCCTGAGCCACCCAGGTGTGCCCATAAGCACAAGCTTTGTAAGTGCTGTTAAGGATTTGACCGGGGCACAGAACAGCAGAGCCACCTGGGAGAGGAGAGAGACACGTGTTGTAGATGAGGTGGTTTGGGAAGGCCTCTGACATGGGGAAGTATTTCAGCTGAAACTGGAAGGATGAGAAGGATCTAGTGGGGACAACTTGAAGCGAGCAGTTTTCTGTGGGGTTAGGGGTCTACCTGTGGCATCTCTGAGGAAGGAAAAGGCCCAGTGCGACAGAGAGAGAAGGCTGCTCTGGGACGGGTGCCTGCAGGGAGGAGGCAGCAGGCTCTGGTCGCACAGGGGCGCAGTCCCTGTGAGGCTGGAGACCGGAAGCAGGAACTGGGAGGGCACCAGTTTCAGCCAGCAGACTGATAATACCCAGCACATGCTCTAGATCCCTCCAACTGGCGGGTGGAGATCACAGAGCAGCAGCCAGACCGGAGGCTGTAGGATTGATCTGGGCGGGAGGCGACGCCTAACGGCAGCAGTAGACACATTGAGAGGGAGACAGATCTGAGGCGTCTCTGGAGAAGGGCACAGAGGGCAGAGGGACAGATGCGGGGAGAGGGGGAGGGAGGCTTCCATCCCCTGAAGGAGGGTGCTGGTCTGGTGCGAGCAACTGGGTAGATGGCGGTGCCATTTACTGAGACTGGGGGAAGGACAGGTTTGCAGGGGAAACATGCAAGGTTTCAGTTTTAGAAAGGCTACGTTTGAGGGACGCCTGGGTGGCTCAGTTGGTTGGGCAGCTGCCTTCGGCTCAGGTCATGATCCCAGCGTCCTGGGATCGAGTCCCACATCGGGCTCCTTGCTCAGCGGGAGCCTGCTTCTCCCTCTGCCTCTGCCTGCCACTCTGTCTGCCTGTGCTCACTCTGACAAATAAATAAAATCTTTAAAAAAAAAAAAAAGAAAGGCTACGTTTGAGCTGCCAATCAATCGTTAGAATCAACAGGCAGACAGTAGGACCTGTCCACCAAGCACTTGTGGAGGGCTGGGACAGTGTTCTACATCTCCCGGGCAGGTTCTCTATCACCATGACAACCGGGAAGGAAAGGGGGATTGAGAGCTGGTTTGACGGCGAGGGAGCTGAGGCTAGGAGGGTTGGCTAGGCATCTTCTGCCACTCCAGATCCTTTCTCCACCCTTGTCCACTCTGTCTGGGGCTGGGAGGCTGAAGGCCTTGCCCAGGGCTTCCATCCGGCGTGGCCAGGGGCACCAATAGAAGATGAGACAAGAGGAGAGGAAGGCTGGGGATTTCCCCTCTCCTTCTTCCAGCCAGGTTGTTGGTCACAGCTCCAGCCAGGGACCCTCTCCAGATTCTAGGACCCATTCTCTCCCCATGCTCTGGGCTCCTAAAGGTGGTACTAAGCCCACTGTTATGTAATGCTGTACCCCTGGGGGTTTCACAGCATCGGTGCACACCGTGGGATATAACCCTGTTAGGAAACATTACTCAGTGTATCTGATTTGAGAGAGCCCTCGGTTCCTGATGGAACCGTGCCTGATATACTTCATCTGGGGCTAAAACTCTTGTGGGCAGCAGAGCTGGGAATCAGATTCAGTGTGGTCGCTAGGGCTGAGCCGTAACCACTAACCTCCATCCTGACCCTCAGACTCTGAGTGGAACAGAAAGAGGTTAGATAGCAGGAAGGACTTACAAGAGGGAATGAGCCCGGGGTTCCTAGGCTCTGTTTATAGAAGACAGAACAAATAAAGATAGTTGAAAGATGTAAACAGAGGGAATGTAGTAGACTTTAGGGATCGGGGAATTAGGCCTTGTGCTTGTGGCTTGGGGAGGGACATGGGATGTTTAAAGTTGGCCTGGGGATTTCAATCTCACTCAAAGACCTTTTGGGAGGAGCAGAATCCCAGAGATCCAAGCCCGGAGGAGCTAACAGACAGTGCGGTTGGTGCCCCAAAGCAGCCCCTGTCCGATCCAAAAGTTTTGGCCTGAAATGAGGTCAAAGAGGAGAAGCCCTGGGGCTGACCCTGGGTCCACAGTGACCACACCACGTGAGGGGTGTTCTGCACTTTGTCCCAGGGTCAAGCAGCCCTGAGCAGGTGACCCATGGGTGACAAAGCTGGAGGGACAGTAGGCCTACAGGATCCAGGCCTCCGCTTCGTGTCACGAGCTTCGGCGCGCACAGAGCGGCCCCACGGCGCCAGACGCACGCACACGCGCACTCGCATGCGTTCTCGGCTCGTGCCCTGCCCCGCGCGGGGTTCCTAGAGCCGGACTGGCCCGACGGGACAGAGATAGGCCTGCTGCCCTTAGGTTCGAGAAGTGCGCGTTCACGGGGACAGGAGGAGGGGAGGGTTGTGGGTGACGGAGGAGCTCCCATGGTGCTTTCACGGAGGCCGCGCCGGAGCTGAAGGGAGGCGGGCGCGGACTGGCCAGCGTCGGCGCACGCGCGCACGCGCCCTACCGGGACACACGGACCCAGAGACACACGCCAGCTGCAGCCGCCGCGCCGCACGCACGACAGCGGCCGGCCTGCAGGGGGCGCCCGAGAGCCGCCCCAGGGGCGCCGCGCGCGCCCCGCCCCCGGCCCGGCCCCGCCCCTGCGCGCCCAGGCGCCCCAACTTCCCCCTGCGCGGCTCTGGGCGGAGGGTCTGGGGGGTGCGGGGGCCCTGCGCCTGGCACTTGCCTCCGACCGCCCCGCCCGCGGCCCCATTCGGGGGGTGGCCCTGCATGTGCGCTTCCAGCAGGTTCCTGGACTTTGTGCACGTGCCCTCACGGTGATTTGCGCGGACACTTGCGCAATATTCAAGCCTCAGAGGTGCAGCCGCTCCACGCCCCCCCGCATGCTACCAAAGTTTCTGTCTCCGAAACGGACCACGCAGTCACAAGCAATATATGCCCCCCTTTTAAAAATATAGGAACATTTACTTTGTTTTATTTTTATTTTTTATTTTTGTTTATTTGACAGAGATCACAAGTAGGCAGAGAGGCAGGCAGGGGTGGGGGGGGGGAGCAGGCTCCCTGCTGAGCAGAGAGCCCGATGCGGGGCTCAATCCCACGACCCTGGGATCATGACCTGAGCCGAAGGCAGAGGCTTACCTCACTGAGCCAGAGGCTTAACTCACTGAGCCACGCGGGCGCCCCTATTTATTACTATTATTTTTAGTAATCTGTGTCCCATGTGGGGCTCAAACTCACAGCCCGTCGGAGATCAAGGGCCGCCTTCTGTACTGAGTGAGGCGTCAGGGCTTCGGGAAGCTTCTGCGTCAATGCAAGTGGTAGCTGCGTACGGAACACCGCATTCTGTGCCCCCCCCGCCCCCACCCCGCCATGGGCTTCTCGCATAGGAAGGGAGGCCGTCCTCCGGGGCACCGTTTGGATTCCCCGAAGTCCGCGGTGGGAGCTGTCACGTGCAGGGGAGGAAACTGCCCAGAGCCAGCGCCCAGGTCGCTTTTGGTGTTTTGAAAGATTGTAGTAAAATATCCATAGGAAGAAACGGACTGTTTACCATTTTTAGGCGTACGGTTGAGTGGCTTCCAGTACATTCACCATGTTGGGCGACCACAATAGTAGTTCCAACATAGTTCTCACCAACTCAACCAGAAACTCCGTCCCCATCCAGCACAAAGTCCCTGCTCCCACCCCCCCAGGCCCCAGTGACTGCCGTTGTCTTCTGTGTCCGTGGATTTGCGGACTCGGGACCTTGTGGAAGTGGAGTCACTCGCTGTCTGCTCGTGACTCACTCACTCCGCTCGGCGTGTTTCCGCGGCTCCTGCGGACTGCAGCGTCTCTCCAGACGTCCTTTCTTCTTCAGACCGAATAATACTCCATTGTGTCCGGGTCACACCTTGTTTATCCCTCCGTCTGGGAACCGGCCCTCTGGCTGTCTCCACCTTCCGGCTGTGGTGAGTGGTGCTGCCTGGACAGGTGTGTGGGCCCA